TCTCCGGATATATGGGAATTACAACAGGATTCTGGGGGTTTTCATGAAGGTATATAGGATTGTAATTATGTAGAGCATCGTCTGAGAAGCCCAAAACGGCACGTGGCACCCGCCAGGTTTCAGTCCAGCGGCTCTCACGCACCGGTGTAGGAGGCAAGTATGCCAGCTGACCTCAGACCCGGCACTGGCTACAGTATAACAGTATAATAGGGTATATGTTGTAATTATGTTAGGGTTTATACAGGTTCTCGGATTGGAGTTTCACATCCCCCCCCCAACGAAGCTGGCAATGGCAACAGACTGGGCTTGCGGCGGGTGCGCACATGGTAGACCCGGTCAGTTCCTTCCCGAGTGTTCTGGCGCTGCAGTGTCATGTTGCCCTAGCTTGCCCGAAGCTTCCACCGCAGGCTGCAACCCGACGTTACCGCATGCTGCTGTCGAAAGTTGCCTGCAGTGATGATGCCGGAGCTCATGGTCGCCTGCTGTGTCGCTTGCCAATCTTGTACGTCACTGTACGTCTTGTACAGGCCATTTATCCACCAAGGCCGAGGTGCAGGTGCTTGAGGCTCAAAGATACTCGGAACCAGTATCTAGCAGACTAGCAGGCTGTGATGATCTACTCACATCCCAATATCCTCAAAGAAGTCTGGAGCGAATCTGCTTACAATGATGTCCACCACAGGCCCAACAGCACACCTGATTCGGGTTGTAGCTTGCAGCCGCTCGCGTTGGTGCCCAGGTGCCCAGCAGTTGTGAAGCACCTGCCCACAGCCAGGCGTTGGATGCGGGGCAATCCCATGGTAGCTGCCTAGCCTTGCCTGGCCTTTGCGCCGGCTCCAGGGTTTAGGTGGCAAGCATGGAGAATAGGGAGGTTGGCGGCAGCCAAGAAAATCCCCAAGCCGATTCCATCACGACCCATCCAGCCTGTGCTGGAACCAGGCCGCGACACCGCGAAGGAGCGCCTAAGAGGAAGAGTCTCAACAGTCTCCTGGGACATCCGCGGGCTTCTGGAGAGTGCAGCCTAGGCGCCTGATGTGGAAGCCTCGGGCCGAAGCCTGGCTCAAAACTATCAAATCCAGGCGTCAGCATGTATTGAACTCTTTGATGCGGGACAAGCCAATGTGCACCTTGCCTGAAAAAGCGGAACTACACGTCTCTCATCGAAGACCACCACGGCGTCCCCAACATGCCTGGGCTGGAAAAACTGGACTTCACCGGATCCTGATCTTGACATCCTGACTTGATCAAAAGAGTCTCTGCCACCAGCTTTCTTTAGTGTAAGGGACTTCCCAGCCAGCTACCTCGCTTGGAACTCTGTGCAGCAAGGCAACTTGATGGCGGATGACTCAGCCTTCAGTTCGTAGTTGCCCAGTGTCCTTTACTGTCAGCACACATCTGCAAGCATTCCCAGCAAGTGCTGAGGCTTTTGAAGTTTGGCTTGTCCTGCTCAGCCCGAGGTGTTGCGCATCATCCAGGACGCCACCTGGCTGAGGACACTCTTCACGCTTGTCTCGGCTCAAGATTTGCAAGGATGCTGCCGGGCGGAGATGCTGCTCACGCTCAAGGCTGCGAAATGCAGCTCACATGAGACATGTTTTACACCATCACCTATGCCGAGCTTTGCAAGCAAAGTGCGTCACTCAATAGTCGTGATTATCGGAGCTGCTACGACAATCACATCCAATCAACTTCGACGTACTTTGAACTGTTCTGGGTTTCCTGCAGACGAGGATTTTCGGAGCGGTGCAGAAGCCGGCGGAGAGCCTGTGCACTTTGCAGCACCACTCGTTCGAAGTTGACTACTGTCATAGTGAGTCTGCCCACATACCATACTGGTATACTGAGCATCCTTGTCTCCAAATCATAGCATCCTTAACTGAAGGCTTTCACAGCCTTGGGGTAGACTTTGGCTTTTGCAGATCCGGCTGAAGATGAAGCTCGATTCCTCCACCCCCGGAGCCTGGGGTTCTCCAAGGCCGCAGTGTAGATCCCGCGACCGTGGACGCGACCATTCACAACTTCCAGCTCATTGCCTCCTTGGGTCATAGCTGGACTCTGCTTGGCTCAGCAGCCTGGTGGAAGCGTGGTTTAGACAAGAACTCTACAGTTCTCCAAAGCCTCAGCATGAATGAACCTCAGTTTGCCGATGTTTCCTCCTGCCGTGCATAGGCACTCAGCGGATCGAAAGGCTTCAGGAGGCCGTCGTATACACAACACTCCGTGCTTCTGAATGACAATTGGCAGTCACGCTCCCTGAGTCATGTCTCTGGTTACGTCTGTTACAAGTATTGAATTGTCCATGACGACAATCTGCCACGAAGGCTGAAGTGCTTGCAGCAAGTCATGAAACGGAACCAGGTCACTCTCATACACACACTCGAACGAGGCAAGTTCATGCAGGAAAGTGGCGGCCAGGAATCAGTAATCCTCGTTGGCAGATTGACCCATAGTTCCTTGGGCATTGGGCCGCGATTAGCTGAACCATACACTGAGCCTTGCAGTCCCAATATGTCTTAAAAGCAACTCAGCCCAGCCCAGAAGATACGACAACAGGTCCCCTTGCAGCTCCATCTGAGTCTGGCCAAGGGGCGAAGATTGCGAGCCGTGGAATGTTGGTACCAAGGGATAGCCCTCAGACCTTCCGCTGACTGCGGTGACTCCAACCAACGTGACATAACACATTTTCAACATGTTTCGCACACTCATGCTCACAAAGGCAACCCCCTATGCACACCTTGGTCGCGGTGCACTCCAAACAGCTCACGCAACTGCGACGTGGAAAGCTCGTGGCATGCGCTTAGAGAGGGAGTAGGCGTGCATCACCCAACCTTGACCTGAACCGTTCATGGAACCCTGAGAAAGGCATCTCCACAAAACCAAGGATCTGATGCAGACAAAGGGCTTTGCTTCCATGAATCGTTGCTGGGCCTCATGACCCACCTCCGGTCGCAGGGCCAAAGATTAGACGCAGCAAGCCGCTACATGCATGGACTTTAAGTCTCTAGACCCTTGCTGGGTTGCTGTTAAGATACTTAATTAAGTTACCCTAATGTGGGTACATTATATAATATAGGGTCAATAATGAGGTTTCCTTATTATAGCGACTGAATCTAACTCCCTAACAGCGACCCAGCTTAGGCTTCGACCTAACTTTGTGCCTCAGCATGCTTGATGGTGATGGGACCTTCGAAGATCTCGGACAGCCGATCCTGACAGGATCCAGGATGGCAAGCAATCTTGCCTGAAGCAAATTTCTACAGGCAGCTGCTTTTGGTGGACTTTTGTTTGCAACATCCTTGCCTTGATCTGTTGCCCATGAGTCCTGCATACAGAGGACTTGAAAAGCAAACTCGCTTTTCACTGCGAGTCAGGTCACATGCAGATCAGGCAGTGTCACGGCATCGCAACAGCTTAGTCATGCCAAAGAGGGAATGACATCGACATATATCTTTCAGACTGCTGCAAATGATTATATGACCTTGCCCAATCTCAGCTTGGGTCCTCATCACATCGTCTTGAATATCCCTGAAGCTGTTTCTGCTGCCAGACCCAGCTTTCTTGGAATCCACGGATTGAAGGGCTTTGTCCTGCGAGCAGTGCAGAAACGGGCCGTGGGATCACAAAGGAGCACTTCTTTACGACAGGCATGCTGACCAGTTAATTGGAAGGCGTGCCGGCAGCAAAAACTGACATTGCGCCCGTACTGAAGTTGCTACAGCGACGGCTAGTGCTTTCTGGTCAGTGCGAAGCCGCGGGTATTGTCCAAACTTTCGCGATACTAAGCGGAAGGGCCTTCAGTTTCCACCGCATCCCTACACCTTCTCATCCAGCAAGACAGCTTTCATCTGATCCCTTTCGTCGCCACCCGTTGTGGGCTCTGGAGCTTGATTCAAGTATTGGATCCTTTGATGTCATACAATGTCCGATCTAGACTGACTCACTGCATAAGTATTCCGTAGAGCCCTTGCACCGTCACTGAAGCCCTTGAAGCCCTTCAATCCACGAGAATCGATTTCGCTTCGCCTCCTCGATTTCCTTGGCGAAGGGATGCTGAAGCTCCCAGGGCTTGGGGACACCAGGCCGGCGGACCAACGCCTCGAGACGAAACAAGGCTTTCTAGAAATGAGGTACCGCTAGGCCTTTACAGGATTCCGGGACATGTCAACGCAGGCAATCAAGTTTAAGGATTACGGATTCGGACTGCGGGCGCACAGCTTGCACCTGCTGCGCCCGTGTGCTCCAGCTGCGCGCACCGCGACATCTCTGCCACTTGCGCCACCTGGAACTCACTGCCTGCACCAGCTGCGCCACCTGTGCCAATTGCGTTGCCTGCGCGGTCTGCGTCACTTGCGTCAGCTGGCGGATCAGTGGGCGGATCGGGCGGAATCAGCTTTTTGGAGGCTGAAGTGCAGTGGTGTGTCCCGCTGCACTGCCCACCGCAATGGGGGGTAGGGTCTCCAACTACAGCTATCTCTTTTTTGTCCGTGTCTGCTTAGTGCATGCACAAGTCATGCATGGGCGTGCTGCCTCGCAGCTTAGCTTTCCTGGCTGGGGAGTGTTTGGTTTTGTAGTCAAGTCGTGAAAGCCAGGAAAAGAATAATGATCGCAAGGATTTGGGAAGGCATGAGGAGTTACGTTGGTTTATAAATTAGAAAAAATGTGCCAGTGACTTGATGCTCAATTCATGAATTACATGCTGCTGCAAGACGTATCAGCCTGCGTCTCTGCATCGAGATAGTCGCGGTCGTCTGCTCGATATCTCGGCCAATGAAGGCGATCGCACCGGCAACATTTGCGATCATTAACATGACACGCACGCCTACTGATTGGCTTCACGTGGGGCACGATTGACTCTGCAGCATTGAGTGCATCAAGCCGTTGATTCAAGGGAGCTGTTGATTCAAGGACACCGGGAGATCGTGCTTACAAGATATTATGTTTCTGACTCACGAGGCCTTACATAGCTCTAATCGCTAAGATCTCTTGATGGGCCAAGCGACCTGCGCTGTCTAACCTCAGTTGGAAGCTGACATGGGCCCTGCAAGCTGAACAGCAAGCAGGCTGTTAACTCCGTCAATCTACCGCTGCTACTTCAACTTCACTGTGTCAAGTGCTGGTTCCCAAATCTTGCTGGCGCTTTAGTAGGGAATAAGGAAATCCAATCCCTATATAATATTTTCAAACAACATATTCCCTTTTTCCCTACTGAGCCCCAGTACGAAACTGGGTTGCTGTTAAGGAACTGAATTTAAGTTACTATATTGTCATTATTTACTATATATACCCATTATGATAACTTAACTTAAGTTCCTTAACAGCAACCCAGGAAAGTGCAAAGGGAGCCGCAAGGATCTCGCGGCGTCCTGTACGACCCGGCAAGGGTTCGCTGTTTTCCACCAGTGCCTGTTATGGTCACAGGAGCTCTAGTCTGAACTCCTTAAAGAAGGTTATATAGGAGATTATATAAAGGAAAGTTATAGGGGATATTAGGAGTTTAGACTATGGCTCACATGGGCCATTCTCAGCATTCTCCGAATTGTAGGCCGGTCTTGGTTACCAAGTATAATGTACCCTGAGAAATCCGCTAGACAAACCGGCCAAAGGGCTGAAGAAAACAGGATTCAGGGTTTAGGTACTAGCTACTAGGATGATGAGGAGTTCCCGTGAAATCTGCGTAGCTACGGTTTTCAGAAACTCCCACATGTCACATTGGAACTTCTGATCTCTCTTGTGGCATAGCGTCCGTTTGCTTACTAACCCTAAACCCTTAAATCCTAAATACCTAAACCCTAAATACCTAAACCCTAAACCGCATCTGTTGAGGGGCCGCTGCGCCTCATTCGCTGTGAGGGCTGGTTCAGCTGGCTGCCTGGCTTCAGAAGGCAAGAATGTTGGAGAGCTCCTTGGATAGTATACTATAGTACACTGTAGTATCCTTTCGAGTGCTAGAGTATATTGTAGTATCAATATACTATACTATACTATAATGTACTATAATATACTACAGTTTTCTATGCAAATGCTTGACTCGTGGTGATTGCTGCCATTAGTACGACCCGAATCACGAACAGAGAATCTAACAACAAGGCACTGGTTCTTGGCCACGGTCTTTGGCTTGGCTGCTGCGCGAAAAGCCCAGGCCTAAGAGACAGATTGGTACATGCAGATTCAGGAACAGGCTGAAAGCCCAAAGGGTTTACTGTCACTCTTAAAAGCCTGACAATTACTCTGGTTAATACATTAGTATTAGAATTGTTACTACTATTATTACTACTTTCACTCTTTTATTCCTAATTTTCTTACTAGAACTGGTACTATCATCATTGCGCACGGACTTCAATCAGGCTCCTTGCCCGCAAGGGTATGTAGGCGGATTTGGCCCTGCGCTTCGCCGCGTAAAGCCTTTGAATGCTTTGAGGCATCAAGCTTATCGTGAAAACAATGATAAGAATGATAATAGTTAATGGTATTTAATGAAATTTTAATAGCAGTAACAAGAACAGTAATATAATGGAATGGAATAGGCTCATTAGATAAGTGAAGCTTGGACGGAGGCCTTACGTTCAGAGCTCTGCAAACAAGATGCAGCTTCTGATGTGAACAGGTGGGGCGAACAACTGCCACAGGGCATTCAGCAACGGATGGGGCGGGGAAGAGTCCACACCTGCTCCTCCACATGATATATAACCACACATAATGGGTAATCAAATGGAAAATAATACGGAAAATGAAATAGAAACCGTGTCTGTAGTGATTTAAAGTTCCCCAAACTAGGGGTACCTTGTTGAGGCTCTCCATTGTAAGGATGTTGATATATTAGAGTCTATTAGTTAGCAATGACCATTTCCATTTTCTAACCATGCACCACCCCCTAGCACCCAAACCATAACAACCTAT